CGTGATTTCAAAAAGTTTCTTTTTTTCGTAATAGCATCGTATTATAGAGTTAATTAAAAATAATGAGACTGAAAACTTCGTTTGATCCTCCCATCGTCACACAATCAACATAAAATTCCAATTTGAGAATGAAATTAACAAAATTAATTAAGGGTAGAAACGGGGGAAAATGTACCTCTAAATAACTTGTGACCTACTGAGGTGTTTTTCAATGAAAAAACCACTACATAATTATACGGAATACAGTTACGGCTGACACTTACCAAATGTAGATAATGAATATGGCGCCGACAAGGAACCATGTCAGAGAAAAGCTGAAGCCAAGAAAATTGATCTCCATGATGTTTGCAATCGAGAGCGTAATCACAAGACTGACGCTTTCTAAAAGGGAACTCGCACTTTTATAGAAAACCGTGAGATCAGAATTAAATGCTTTGTCATGGAACTTTGTTCAATGTTAACCCAGAGAAAGGTCCCTGGATATTTATGTCAACATAAATTATCATGCAATATTTCACGAATTAATATTAACTCTTTTTTGTTAATACTTCAAACAACGGACAAGTCTTACACATTCTAGACAACATGGACTCTCACCCTCTTCATGTATACGTTTTATTTGAACGACCAGGCAATTTAAATAAATAGATTGTGATCATGGCAGTAGGCGTATCGGCATAATTATTTAGGGCTTATGCCGAAAGGGTGGGTAGCGTCGCGTCGCGGCCCGTTGACTTGAACGCGACCATTCGTCCAAAGCCCCCCCCCCTGTTTGGCCGAAAGGGTGCGTTGGGAGTGTCGGGTCGCGTCGAACGCGACAATTCGTCCAAAGCCCCCCCCCCCCCCGGTTCGGCCGAAAGGGTGCGTTGACTAGTCTTCCACATTAGTCGTTTGTAATAGAATATAAGGAATAGAAATTTAAGTCGTTTAAATTCAAATAATCAAGATATTGAATAACCGTGTCTGGAGGAAAGACTACACTCGATTCTCATGAAGAATCCTAAAAATAGTCATTTATGACATGAAATTGTACATATGTATATATATTAATAATTCAATAAATAGTGTGTGGCAAAAATAGTCAACTGTGACTGATTGCCAAACAAAAACAAATCAAGAAGAAGAAGTTATTCCACAGGAAAAGGATTATGGGGTCTTAGATTTGAAGATTTTTTAAATTTTTTGAAATAACCGGGTCTGGAGTAAACACTGCACGCTATACCCATGCTTTATTACAGGGTTTTAGTTTTGAACAAATTCGACAAATTATCACTTTAAATTTATTACATTTGTGGGTTAAGTGGTTATTACATTTGTGGGTGAAATTATTACATTTGTGGGTAAAGTGTTATTACATTTGTGGGTGTTATTACATTTGTGGGTAAAGTGTTATTACATTTGTGGGCGTTATTACATTTGTGGGTGTAACACCCCCATTTGTGGTTGATTCAAAATTATTACATTTGTGGGTAAAGTGGTTATTACGTTTGTGGGTGAAATTATTACATTTGTGGGTAAAGTATTATTAAATTTGTGGGTGTTATTACATTTGTGGGTAAATTGTTATTACATTTGTAGGCGTTATTACATTTGTGGGTGTAACACCACCCCCCCTAAAAAAAAAACTAAAAAAAAAACGTTTTGTCATGATAATGCGCTCAACGTGAACCCAGAAAAAGGTCCTGTCAACATTATCAAGCAAACAATTCACGAATTAATATTTACTCCTTTTTTAATACTTTAAAAAGCAGACAAGTCTTAAAAATTATAGATAACATGGACTCTCACCCTCTTCATGTATGTGTTTGATATCTGCAATAAGGCAATTTAGATAAATGAGATTGTGATTATGGCTGTAGGCGTCGCGGCATATTTATTCAGCCAGGGGTTGACGTTCCATTGCCATTTATTTTTTTAATCATAAAAAATGCTTTGTCATAGAAATATGTTCAATGTGAACCCAGAAAAAGGTCCTGTCAACATTATCAAGCAATCATTTCACGTATTAATATTTACTCCTTTTTGTAATACTTTTAAATATGGACTCTCATCCTCGTCACTCCAGGAAGTGCCTGAAATGCGTCTAACGTGGTTCTAAAAGTGCAAATAATTCCTACTCTGGGAGGGGGTCAGAACCTCTAGAGCCTCGCTCTGTCGCTTCATCGTTTTACATATTTTTCACCCATGTCATTTTGTGCCCTCTCCCCGGTAAGAAATTCCTGGATCCGCCACGGATGCCCATACCCATCGAGGTTCGGGGGCTTTGCCTCTAGACCCCACTTAGAAAAAACGTTCAACGGGGCCTGCATGTAAGAGTGGGGTGATGCGGATTTTTTGTTGTCAGCCCCTCCCCCCCCCCAAAAAAAAAAAAAAAACAAAAACAAAAACAAAAACAAAAACGTTTTGTCATGATAATGCGCTCAACGTGAACCCAGAAAAAGGTCCTGTCAACATTATCAAGCAAACAATTCACGAATTAATATTTACTCCTTTTTTTAATACTTTAAAAAGCAGACAAGTCTTAAAAATTATAGATAACATGGACTCTCACCCTCTTCATGTATGTGTTTGATATCTGCGATAAGGCAATTTAGATAAATGAGATTGTGATTATGGCTGTAAGCGTCGCGGCATATTTATTCAGCCAGGGGCTGACGTTCCATTGCCATTTATTTTTTTAATCATAAAAAATGCTTTGTCATAGAAATATGTTCAACGTGAACCCAGAAAAAGGTCCTGTCAACATTATCAAGCAAACAATTCACGAATTAATATTTACTCCTTTTTGTAATACTTTAAAAAGCAGACAAGTCTTAACAATTATAGATAACATGGACTCTCACCCTCTTCATGTACATGTTTATTATCAACAAGTAGGCAATTGAAATAAATGAAGATGTGGACATGGCGGTAGGCGTATAACGGCTTATTTATTCAGACAGGGGCTGACGTTCCGTTGCCATTTAAAACAAAAATCTTGAGCAACCAAAATTCTATAGGACTTTAAAATAGAATTTCGTCATGGAAGTATGATACTATAAACGGACTGAATTGTTGAAGAAACCATTATTCTCGAGCTTTAACAAATCATGGTAGAATATACTCGATGAAAATTATATAATCAAATGATGCGAGTACAAAATGCCCCACTGCACTACTTATAGCTAATTGTGTCCTCTATATAGCAAACAATGCCTAATCGGTACCTGTTGGTCCACCATGATCCCCTTTTTCTCATGTTAATTGAGAGCTGATTTGATTAGATGACCACCCACTGACCTCGCAGGGAGGTCTACTCCCCACTGGCCAAACTAGTGCAGACGGGCTTTAAATCAAAATTGACATTTGGTAGAATTACGATAAGCGTTGTATTCAGTATAAAACTAAATATGCTGCTTGCACGCCGTGAATGTATATACTGTATAATATTCATCATCATCCATCATCAAATCTATTAGGGGCCTACTTGTCTAAACGTTATCACGGATTTCATCATCATCATCATCATTTTCGTCAGCACCAACACTGGTACGATACCATAATCGCTATTATTTCTATAAACATCATCGTCATTGTCATCATAATCCTTCTTAAAATGACCTTCTTAAGTCATTGCCATCGTCACCGGTTACGTAATCATTGTCATTATCACTAATCATTAACATTATCAGTAATGCCACCATCATAATTTCGTAATTCTCGTCAAAATTCTCACCGTGATCGATATATCCACGGAATACATAATCATCATCACCAATAACATGGTTACAAAGTATTGGATGATTGAGAGGTGTTTAGCGTGATAATAAATGTTTAATATTAGAATCAGACCTTCAGTCGGCTTCCACGAAGAGTATATTTAAACAAAATATCTTATATATTTCACTAAGATTTACATTAAACCGAGTATAAAGAAAGTTTTAAAATTGTCTCTCGACCTTGGTACAATATACTACACGGTTTATTATTTTGTATAACAAATAGAATTTTATGACAATTTAATGAAAAAAGGGAACAATTGTTAAAGATGCGATCTACAAGACTATGGCGTTGTAAGATCGGCCTTTCGTGAAGTAGCTTTCTCGCAGTTTAAAGTATACGAGAGAGAAATAAAGGAATATGAGGATGCGTGTGCAAAAATCAGTGACACAATTTGTTTGCAATCAGTTTTCACGTTACAATCTACAACTTGCTATTCTCTATACATATGCATAATTGACTTTGCAATATAAAGTCTTGAAGAGGAACCTGTAAAGTAATGTTGATGAAGCGCGTATAGATTGTTTAATTAATGATTTATTTGTATCTTTTGAAGAAAAAATTTAATTGTACAAATAAAGATTTATAATTTACTACTTTAATATAAGATTCGTCTTATCACGAGATGATGAACAAAACGTTCCAATATATAGAGTAATGTCATAGAAGCTGGTTGAACAGGTTACTTGCTCTAAACAAAAGAGCTTTCGCATGCATGAGGTTCCCCGCGAAATCATTCAAGCAACGGGTTAGAGTAGGGCAATTCATTGTTTGAGGCTGATGTGATCACTGCAACTTTGTTTAGCAGAACATTATCTTAATAGACCAAGCAACCGTGACAACGTGGCCAGTACGACGTCACATTTGGTACTCTGTCGTACCTGGTACCATGTACACATCAGTCGAAATAGATTGTGACAACGAGATGTCAGTCGACATAAGAATGAACTATAATCATGCAATGATGAGAACTCTTAAATTCATCGACTGATATTCAAGTTATTGAACTTTTATGTTATTCAAACGAGTTAAGGTTTGACATGATTATAAATTCCCTCTCTCTCTCTCTTTCTCTTTCTCTCGCTATCTCTTTCTATATCTGTGCCATATTCCGTATCTATCGACTTTGGCGATCATGTTCTACTAAAACTCTTTTATTCTTCACGAGGAGCTCATCGTCTATTATGGTCATTTCTCTCTACTCTCCTGAAGCCATCTCTATGACTACATCCGCCCAGACATTTTTTCTTCTCTTTCTTCCACTCTTTTGCACTTGATCTTTTCTATTACTTCTCCACGTGTCAAGCGTCCCATAAGTTCCATCTGAACAGTTCTTTATCTCACAAAATATAGTTTTCTGTGTAACATTTTCACGGCAGTCTTAGTTAATAATTATGGGTCATTACAATAAAATGATGAAAATACTAAATTTGCCTTTTGTCTATTCTAGAGTTGTAGAAAATACATAATTTATCCATTAAATGTTCTCTTCGAACACGAACTGCATTGATGTATGAAGCCAAAGCAATAAACTGTCTGAATATTCATTGTTCTATGACGATTTTCAACGTTGATTGATCACTTATAGTACACAATTATTTTCAAATGATTTAAAGATCGCCAAACATAAGAATATTATCTACCATACACACTTGCAGTTGTTTATGTTCAATTCGGGTATTCATGATTAATATTTTGGTACAAAGAAAACCTTACTAATACAGTTAAAATTAAAATAACAGCACAGTCTCATTTTGAATATGCTCGTGTTCTACTTTACACAACTATACAATTTACGGTAGCAAGGGGGGGGGGGGTAATATAAACCTTTGAATATGGTTAACTGTTTCTTTTTAATATGTACAACTTATTTGTGTTTATTCAATGAATTATTTGATTTAGCTCCGTGGCACTGCTCGAAGCGTAATACCGTTCTGTGGAGTGATAAATCCAAGAGCTCCCAACGTTGGTGGTATCTATAACAAAAAAGAAGGAATTATTAAGTCTTCTCTACGGTAGCCTTTCAAATGCATTCTTAACACTCCTGCAGAGCTCCGAAAGAGATTCATTTGACAATTCTTATGAATTCAAAGATAAAGGATAAGGTTACAAAAATAAGTATTCACAATAGGCTAGATGTTAAGATCATAAAAATAGTCATTCATGTTAAGCATATAGGGTTTAAGTTTTTACAGAAATTTTAATTTACGATATGGGGGAGGGATGGTAGGGTTACAACAACAACAACAGCAACTACAAAAACAAGAATACTTACGTTGTATTTGGTAAGGCATTTATCATTGTTAATTTAACATTAAGAATTGGATGTGTTTGTACCTCAGTTTGAGGGCACGTCTCGAAGCGGAATTCCCTCAAGACTCGGACGAGGGCAATCTTAGCTTCCATAAAAGCGAACCTCATACCTAGGCACATCCTGGGTCCGCTACCGAAAGGGATCCAAGCAAGTGGGTGTTGCTTCTCTCGATTCTCCTTTGTGAACCTGCAGTTTTTTAAATGATTTTAAAAGGTTATTTGTGATTTAAAAAGGTTGATGCAGTTAGAATTCCTATTCATCTTAATTTGTTCGAATTCGCCGAAAATAAAATATACACACACACACAAAAGAAAAAATACACTCTTCATTGGATCTGACTAAGATTGTAATGTATGAAATAAAGTTTGTTTAAAGTAAAGAATTATCTTATACAATACCCCTGCGTTCTCCCTTTGGAATATTATTTAAAGAAATGATACATTGGAAGTATCAAAGAGATGATACCTTTCAGGGATGAACTTGTCTGGCTCCGACCAAATCTCTGGATCCCGTTGTATGGCGTAGATGGGGATTTGGACCTCCATTCCCCTTGGTATGGTGTAACCATTTATCTGATACTCTTTGCTACAGATACGATTGGCGCTACAAACAAATTAATGGAGAAAGGAAGGTTAAACAAAAATGGCTTTTCCTAATACATGAGTCACACCGCCAAATCGACTCGACACTGATTCCAAACCGACACCAATTCTTTGCAATCCGGGTTAACGTGTTTTTCTGTTCGGTCTTTTTTGGTGTGACTGGGATATTAGAGGCACACGAAGAAGGCAGTGAGTAATTTCAAGTTGGGTGTTTAAGGCTGGTGTTAGTGTTTAATAAACACTAACACCAGCCTTAAACACCGAAATGGAAATCAGCTGGTGTTAAGGCTTTGACTTCTGACTATCGTCAACTTCTGGTAGCTAGTGTTATCGATTTTGCAAAATTGTCGTTTGCTGAACCGACCTTTGTGGCTGGTGTTAATATTTTACGTACAAATGTCCTATTCACTAACACTAGCCCCTAGGGATTAAGCAAATGTTGATTTCCAGTTCGGTGTTAGTGTTGTACCCGCACACAGTCAACGCACGAACGACGCCAATTTATTGTCTGACGATCAAAAAAAAAAGGGGGGGAAACACGTTATTCATATATTCTTTCGTGTAAAATTAGTTATTTTTTAAGACCAGAGAAATAGGTTTAAATTTATTCTGTACTTTTCATGATATCTTTAGTTTTGATGTACTATTTTTAAATCATCGTCGTAAAATCAAGTATGTGGTGACGTCACGGCTGGTTTTAAGCTATCGATTTTGATATCGGTATCGGGCTCTTAATTTCATCAGCAAATTCTCCGCTCGATTTAAGAGCTCTTGACTGCTCTAAACACTAACACTAACACTAACACCAAACTTGAAATCACTCAGTGTACGTGCTTCAGGGAACAAAGTATTGATCTCATTACCGGAAGGTCCCGGGTTCGAGACGAATTAAGGGAGCCAGCGTACATTGTACTTGTAGACTACTCCTCGTGAATATTCTCTTGCTTTATTGCATTAGACCAACGGATCACTCCTTATTCCTTGTATAAAGTCATTGATCAATAATTATGTCAAGGAAATGTCATACTTATAGATAGATTGTTGTTAAGTTATCATTGTTTTTTTTTACTGCTTGCGTAAATTTTTATTTTGCAAATTAAAAACATAATCTACAGGGAATAAAATGATGTCTTAATTGCATGTTAAGTTATAAAGAAATGAAAAATATTTACATTGGGGCAATGGGATAGAGACGCAAAGTTTCACGTAGCACTTGGTCTAGATAGGTCATCTTGGTGATCGTAGTGTATGTTACACATTCTGCCGTGGGCGCCATTTCGTCAATTTCTTCGAGAAGCTTGTCCTGAGTCTCTGGATTCACGGCGAGAAGGTAAGAGGAGAAACCGCAGAGGGCGCTGGTCGTCTCGAATCCACCGAGAAAGAAGAACATTGCCTGCAGAAGGTAAGAAAGGTGAGTTATTCAGATCAGGCGCGTACGGGGGGGGGGGGGGGGGGTATTTTTTGGGTATTTTTTGTGTGTAAACCCACCCCCCATAACCCCCCATAACCCCCCGTAACCCCCCTAAACCCCCCCCCCTTTGGTTTTTTTTTTTTGGGTGTCCTCTTACCCCCCCCCCCCCCCCGCTTATTCAGCGGCTGGCTGAGTCGTTGCGAAATTTTCGGCCCGATTTATAAATGTTAACCCCCCCCCCCTTGAAAAAATCCTGCGTACGCGCCTGATTCAGATGCATACCAGACAGCCACCTATTGTGTGCCGACCATTCAAATGTCAGAAATTGGAATTTAAACATACCAAACGTTTATGGAAGATAGGAATTTAGTTTTTTTTTTACAATTTAATATTCCAATTTTCCATAGTGTGAAATCAAGCGATAGCTGCTTTTAATATAATTACCTGTGCCATGACTTCATCATCTTCTAGGGTCGTTGTCTTCTTAGCATTGCGCGTGACGGAGAGGGTATCATCTTCGTGCTCAACGTCGAGGTCGTCATGGGTGTCATCCTCACACTCTTTCTGATCGGTCTTATCGTCGTTTGTTTGCTTAGCGGCATCAATTATCAACTGGAGAAAATCTACTCTCTAATTTGAAGAACAAAGTTATAAAATTTATTACTTTGAATGACACATATCTTGCGTGTTAGAAAAATGACAAAAAAGGATAATACTCGAATTCAAGTTGGATAATTCAATTCCGGTAAATTTAAACATGTACGTACAGCCCTTTCCTTTACGATCTGGCATAATATATGCATACATTTGAAATATAGTTGCAAATGATAAAAGCATTAACAGGTCAAGCTGATCTTGTGTGAGACCAATTTGAAAATGAATAATAAAAGGGAAATAAGGAGAGACGGAAAGGATGAAGGAAATTGGTTCGGGATGAAGAGGAGGGAAAAAAGAAAGAAAAAGAGATGCAGCAACTGGGTCGAATAAAAGGTGGAAAGCAAAGATGGGTGATGAGAAAACGCTAAGAAAACCGAGCTTGAGGGGGGGGGGGGGTAATAGTGGAGAAAAGACTAGGCTTACAATATGGAGATCTGAAGAGTTGTATTGGTTTGAGAACCAACCGGTTGAACAAACTAAATATACCGGTCGCATCTGGACAAAAGCAGAAGTTAAAGCATAGCAAGGGGAACGAGAGAAAGAAACAGAAATAGGAGGAATCATAGATAATTCCTTTCAAAATAGAAGAAGAGCCAACACTCGGAACTAGAAGTGTGAAACGTTGAAAGAGGAAAAAACTATGAAGTAGCCGATCAAGAATCAAGAAAAGGATCACAGAAACAAACAGGAATAGGTAAATCCCACTAGAAATGAACAAAAGAGAGGAGAGGATCGAGGAGGGAAAAGTGGGTTCTGTCTTGCGATTTCGACGTTCAACTGTAAAAATGATAAACAAATGAGCACAAGGATGAGGATAAAGCTGCAGTGCAAAACGACAGAAAGGAAGAGGAAGAGAGAGAGAGGAGGTAGAGAAGAAGCAATCGAAGGAGGAAAAGAAGAATTGTCTTACCTTATTGTCTGTGTTCGTCGTACCTCTTCGGATTGCTATTGCCTGGGCCGCGACTTTCCTGAAGAATTTAATTGACTCTCTGCTCAGGACCCCGATGCCAAAGTAGAGAAATATGCGGGACACCCAGGGGAAAAGTGCTGTATTTAGAAATAACACAAATTAATTTTGAATACTTTATAAAATGACTTGATTCCGAACTGGATTAAAAATTCTAAATACAGATGAATTTAGAAATTAAGTAAATATTTAAAATTTAAATTAAATTTAGCGATGAATGATTTCCTGCTAGACTTCTACAGCGTATAAACGAATTCTGGATCACTTTTTCTTTATTTCTTGCACTCTTTTATGACGAATCCATATAATGTTTTATTAATAATACAAATTAATTCTGAATAATTAATAAAAACGACTTGATTCCGAACTGGATTAAAAAGTCTAAATACAGATGAATTTAGAAATTAAGTAAATATTTAAAATTTAAATCAAATTTAGCGATGAAAGATTTCCTGCTAGACTTCTACAGTGTATAAACGAATTCTGGATCACTTTTTCTTTATTTTATTGCACTCTTTTATGACGAATCCATATAATGTTTTATTAATAATACAAATTAATTCTGAATAATTAATAAAAACGACTTGATTCCGAACTGGATTAAAAAGTCTAAATACAGATGAATTTAGAAATTAAGTAAATATTTAAAATTTAAATCAAATTTAGCGATGAAAGATTTCCTGCTAGACTTCTACAGTGTATAAACGAATTCTGGATCACCTTTTCTTTATTTCTTGCACTCTTTTATGACGAATCCATATAATGTTTTATTAATGTCGAACAGTCGTCTTTTTTTTTCTCTCTCTCACACTTACCCACAAGCACAATCAGAGGGTTGAAGACAACCCCAACCTGGAATGTCTTTTTTGCATGAGCAACAAAAGGGTGCTCGGGATCGCCCTGTGAATCAACGTCAAGTCCAAAAGCACATCTCGTAGTCGAGTCCATGATGTACGATCCATAAAGTCTGTACAAATTAAAGAGATGGAGTCGTGATGCAGTAGTATGGGATAAATGCACAATGATATCTATTTTTAACAATCGTTAGAATGAAAGCTGCTCGAATGGGGGGGGGGGGGGGGGGGGGGGGGAGGAGGAGGAGGAGGAGGAGGAGGTGTATTCGTTCTTCATTTCCTAAGTCATTCGCCGTGTTTCAAATACGTTAGTGCCCCTCTGTCTCGGTCTCTCTCGTTCTCTCGTTCTCTCTGCATGCTCTATACCTGTCTGTCTGTCTTTGTCTGTGTCCGGGTATGCCTGGATTTGTCTGTTTCTCTGTAGGTCGGTCTCTGATAAATTTATAGAAGGCATTACTAGTCTGAAATCACAGTTATTAATTGAACTTCGTAGCAAACAATATTTGTTCACTTCATTTACAGAATGTCCCGAAAATGTTGTTCGTTGTCTAGACTATAACCTACTTGAGCGTACTGGTGTGTATATGAGCAACGTTTCTCAACATAATTATGGAATGTCTTACTCTCTGCATTCTACAAAACCATGCTTCTCTTGTTCTTGTCCAATGTTCTCCACCAGTCTATCAGCTTTCTCGTTGACCAAAGTGGACATCTGTAAAAAAAAAAAAAAAAAAAAAAAAAAAAAAGATAAATTATTAACTGAATGTTCTATGTATTCAAATCCCAATGAATGTGACGATAAAACTGAGATAAAAACAAACAAAAAACAAAATAACAATACCAGCATTTCCTTTGTCTTCTCAGATTTACCGTAGATCCAATGATCACTATAGTATTGCTAGGCCGTATAAGTTATAAGGTATACGTTTGATAAGTCTTACAGTGCCACATTAAAGTGCATTGTAGAAATATACAACCGTATAAGCAGTCCTCAATCACTACTAATAGACGCAGGTAACATACTTATATTTTAGATAACTGTACAGAATTCCCACTTTCAATATACAATGTACAACCCTTTTTTTAAACAGTATTCTTCATACGGCGTATAGAATAGTTCTTAAGGCCCGGTCACACAGCCTTTCGCGTCTGTATCGCGGGTAAAATTTCGCGATTTTTTTTTGCCCGCGGTTGCCCGTGGTGCAAAATGTGCAAAATTGGCTTACCCGCGGTTTACCCGTGGTATGCCCGCGGAACAGACGCCGGCGACTGTTCCGCGTCCTTATCGCGGGTGAAGCACGGCGGTACCGCGGCCTACCACGCTTACACGCGGTACACACGCTAATGCACGTGATAACAACGCGGTACAGACGCGGAACAAACGTGCTATGACCGTGCTCCACCCGCGATTACCCGCTAAAATTTCGCGTCCAATTCCGCGTGTAACCACGTCTTAACCGCGGCCGTAGCACGTCCTAGCACGTTCGTTCCGCGTCTGTACCGCGTCTTTACCGCGTGTGTACCACGTGTACCGCCCGCGATTACCCGCGGTCTAAATTTTTGGGCAGCCCAAAACTTTTTCGCGCGGCCAACCGCGTGTGAATTTCTTACCGCGTGTAACGACGAGTAAAGTACGGCTGTATCGCGTCTTTATCGCGACCTCAAAGCGTCCAACAGCGTCTGCTTCACGGGCAGAAATTTTTGGCCGTGATTCGGCCGCGATACGCCCGTGGAGGGCTGTGTGACCGGGCCTTTACTTAAAACTCATGTTTTTGTTTTGATCAAAGTAACACTAAAACTATTTTTGTAAGGGCCATCATTGATTTCGTCGCAGTCCATTTTACCCGATGGTTATATTGACTTCTGCTCTTTTAAACCTGTATTTCGTGTAATATCTGAAGCCTCTTGAACTTGAGTATCCATTATTTTATCCTGGATGCTGATAAACTACACGAAACGCTCTCATATCCGCTCAATGTATACACAATGGGGTGAAAGGTTGAACAGCGTTTCCACCGGAAATCGTATCTAGGCTTTTCTGCTCCGATTTCCTGGGAAGGTTTTTTTCCTTCAATCTTTTGCAACTTCGATTTATTGTTACCATTTTCAAGTTTTCCTTGTTCCAAATACAAATACTAACTAATCTGAGGATGATTTCAGTTTAAGGGAGTCTGCTCTTATTGATTACAATGTAACACAAACGAGAGAGAGAGAGAGAGAGAGAGAGAGGAAAAGAGGGTTTATTTACCAGTTTCATTTTGCTTGCGCTGAAAGTCGGAGAGCTAATATTTCTGACTACTTTCCATCTCGCATCTTTGAGGAAGAAGAGTGCTTTATCCATAGGACGATTGGCAAGGGGAGCGTTCTAGAAACAAAATGTTTAGAATTACAAACTCCCAAAACCTCGGTAGTAATTAAACATTTCAAAATTTGATGTATGCCAAGATCACCAATAGAAGCGAAATATATATATATATATATATATATATATATATACATATCACACACACACACACACACACACACACATTTGTATGTTTTATATATATATATATATATAGAGAGAGAGAGAGAGAGAGAGAGAGAGAGAGCGAGAGAGCGAGAGAGATTCAACATTGGTTTACATTAATTGTTAGAATGTTTCCAAGCACATGCAATTTCAGAAACATACATTTATTCAAATTTACTGACAAGAGGAAGTTGATTAAAGAAGTACCATACTTTAACAATACAAGAAAATAATATCGATAGATTATGTCTGTCATTTATTAAATTTCATAATAGATACTTACTAGCCTGTTGTAGAAGTGATGGAAATCCTTTACCAGAATGTTCCTGGCAGCATCCAGATCACTTATAACCAGGATGGGTCGATTGAAGTTGTATACTCTGCAGAATAATAGCTTTACAACATGAGTTGAATCCTTATCACAACTTACACTATCTTATATTAGGCTTTATGGCCCCTTTGCAATATCTGCTGTAAATCTTTATAATTTCGTTGCTCAAAGAGTATAGTGGATTATCGATGTAAGATAAAGAAGTTAACATGTAGTATGATAAAAACCGTCTATTAACACAATAATGTTGATGACAGAACAATAATCCTTAAGTTGAGTGTCAACAAATATTGAGAGCTTGTTGAAGAAAAAAAAACTTACCCGAAGAAATTGCCGTATTTCTGCTTGTACTCTACGTATTTGTTATGTTGCCCCTAAAATGAACAAAATGTTTAAAAGTTGTCTATTATGTTCAAAAATATTTTGGGGACTGTTACGATTACCAATTTTTGTTATTGTTAATCTAAAAAATATTAACGAGATTATATATATATATATATGTATATATATACACTGTCGCTCGTATAGTTGTAATATTTTTTTTACCCCAATTTATGGAATTATTTTGACATTGATTTATTCCTAAAAGATCTAGATAATAGTATACATTCTCAGATTTTATTGAATAATAATTTGCCAGTGTTTGTTTTGCGTGACTGCTAAAGCATGTGTATGATTCTATGCTTATCAAATAGGGGACCTACGCCCATAAGTCATAAATGACAGTAATGAGGATTAATGCCCCACAAAAGGGCACCAATATAGCACATCGACACGATTTTGATCATGGGGCCTCACAGTTACGAGGCCACTGCTTTGTCAATGAACCATGAGTGTACGCAGCGGGGGCTAGGGTAGGGGGCAGTTCCCACAAGTAAAAATATTTAAAAAAAGAAAATGCAATACATTTTCAATAATTCTTTGCATAGCGGTCAAATGAAAGTTCAAATTTTAGTATTTATTTTAATGGATCTTTGAAAACTTATATTTTCTAGAAATCGACCTTTGGTATTCATGATATTTGGTTAAAGCCACATTTCTACATTCCTCTTTTTCTCCAGTCTTAAAACTACGATTTCCGAAAAATTCTAAATATTTTAGGCTATTTATGTATTTCAGTGTTCTAACCTTTCTCCATTCATATGTATTGCCAAGAACAGGTTGAGAGGGAGGTGAACTTATTCCATGCCGGATCCAATATCGGCGACACCAGATATCATAGCTATTTGGGAAAGGAGACAGAAAAGGACAAGGGAAAAGGGTGAGGGATAGAGAGAAAGGAGTACATCATAATCAAATAAATTTTTCCAAAAAAAATGCTGAAAGCTCTTCAGGCAAGTGAAGTCATTGACATGCTTGTAAGTAAAATAAAAACTCTTCTCATTGAGGCAGGCGCGGATCCAGGATTTCTTAGGGGGGGCCCAAATTTGAAATTGTGCGAGCCAAATATTGGTACGTATTGGTGACCAACAGTGACGTAATGCGGGGGGGGGGGGAGTTTCCCCCTCCCAAGCTTTAACGTTTCATTATATTATTAGAGAAAGAAGACGATTCGTTGTACCGTTCTCGGAAATAATTCTCGTCTGAATTTAGTTTCCCCCCCCCCCCCCGCGCGAATATTATATGCAGATGACGATTTAGAAACCAACTCTCTTCACAAACTTACCAGATATACACCAAGATGATAAATCCTAAAAGGACACATGAAGTCACCGAAAGAAACCAGAAAACCATCTTTCTATATAATTGGTAAAAAAAGATGCTTCTAAAACACTCCTATACAAGAAAGTTGCTCCTATTTAAACAGAGACGAAAGATATACGACGCGGTAAAGTGCTTGATTGTAGATAGATTCGGTTTCCTCACATGAAGACTGAAGTTGATGCACTGGTTTAGGCTGCCTTGCTGAATTCTTGTTTGAACGTGGGAATGCCAGGTACTGCTTTCATAACGATGACATAATTTGACCTTGGCAAGGAAGCGGCCGGTGAACGAACTCTCGCGTAGTCTTACATAACATATGAATGACTTGCGGATGTGGGGGTGGGGCATGTACCCTTTTGTACAGCCGGCATGGGTGTCGATACTTACGTAATACCTATTCATCAGGGGGGGATGAATGAATAGATCATCCCCCCTGATGAATAGGTATCAGTTACGGATCGACACCCATCACAGCCGGCCATCCTGTAAAAACACATAACAATTTTACCCCAGGTACCCCAGGTAATTAGGATTAGGTTTTTGTTGCTTGTCACAGAAGGTATTGATCACTAATTTCATGAATAATTTTGAAACTAAAGTTTCCCCTGGCGACTGAAAAAGCGTGCCAGAGACTTGCTTTATGCTATGGTCACATTACCCAAAAGTTGCCTGCTCGGCGGCCGAGCGGCGAGTTTTTAACCAATTCTGCCCGGCGGCCGCCCAGGCATCGCTCGTTTTTAGGGCATCGCTCGGTCGCCGCTGAAGTTTTAGCGCGGAGTTAAAATTTGGGCGGCGCCTGCTCACTTTTCACTCGCCGCCCAAAATACGCTCGGTGCCTGGGCGGTCGCCGGCCGGCACCGACCTAATAGACCAGTTCACGGTTAGCACATCACTGCAATGACCCCGAATATCCACAGATCTTCAAAACATGAAGAGGGCCCACTTTGTACATTTTGAAATAGTTACTCCTACATCGATGGAGATGCTACATACTTAGCCTTTGTTTCCCCTTTTCAAAGAATACTTCCACCTGTGTATCATGGAGTGCTCCGCTTGTGCATAACTGAATAGTGATTACATAACTTTCATGAGCACGTATCCAGTATTCCGTCTCCGTGAATTTCACAATTCGTTCTGCAATGACCTTTATCTGCTCATGCTCAGACTGCAACCGTGAACTGGGCGATGCCTTAATTCCAGCAGCGACCGAGCAGGCTACTGATCGGTCGGTCGCTGCTCAGATTTGTGACCATAGCATTACATAGCAACAACTGATGTATAAAAAGTGAATGCAATCCAGTCCACGGAGATACCATTTTAATAGCAGGTGAATCGATAACCAAGGGTATGGTTTGGGAGAGAAAGTACATAAAGTAAAATACATTAGTGAGTATAGGTCTATTTGAACTTGAGCCCCTGCCCACCCTTCAACCCTTTCCGACGGAGAATCCCGGATTCACCTATGATCCTAGCTTAGGACTTTGAATTAAGTGGCACAAGTGTGTATTATCCGAACACAAAAGAACTGACTGCACAACCAGAAAAAGAGTAAAAATCTTTCATGCTCGTTTGCCGGCAAGACGGCGTAATCTCTTCTTATAATGACATAGCATGTATCCATATAACCCAGGGATTGCTCATATTATGCAAGAGTGATATCACAATCGTCATTTATAGCGATACCTGTTCTCTGATTTCCATTTTGACTTTCAGTTATCATATCGATAGGATTTAATCATTATAAATGATTTTTCGAGTCCATTTATATACCTTCCATGATTTTGGAAATTATCGAACTTAAAATCAAGCATCAACCCCCCCCCCCCCCATCCAACCCCCGCGCGATGAATCTCCAGACAGGTCTGTACACAACGCGTACTTGAAGTGGGTCACAACAAACACGTTCCATGGTCTAAGTTGTGTCAACAAAATTTTCATGCAAAGAATAGCGTGCTCAGATGATCACAAAAGGCCCATTTATACTGTCAAATACCTCATTTTGAAAAGTCGCGATGTTTCGCGCACCCGTTTCGATTGTGCGGAAACATCACCGACTGAAAAGCTCAGTGATGTTTTGGCATGTTTTAGTTGGTAATGCGCATGCGCGGCACTCCGATGCAAAAACTTTCCTCTTTCTGTCTTTCCTTATGTTATTCTTTGTTTTTCCTTCTAGCACCTTCTCTTATGTTATTCTTTATCACTTCCTTCTATCACTTCCTCCTTTGTGTTTCCTTATGTTATTCTTTATTTATTCCTTCTATTACCTTCTCTTATGTTATTCTTTGTTTTTTTTTATCATTCTATCACTTTCTCTTTCTGTCTTTCCTTATGTTATTCTTTGTTTATTCCTTCTGTATCACCTTCTCTTATGTTATTTTTTTTTAATCATTCTATCACTTCCTCTTTCTGTGTTTCCTTATGTTATTCTTTGTTCCGTCCTTCTGTATCACCTTCTCTTATGTAATTCTTTGTTTTTTTATCATTCTATCACTTCCTCTTTCTGTGTTTCATTATGTTATTCTTTGTTCTTCCTTCTAGCACCTTCTCTTATGTTATTCTTTATCACTTCCTTCTATCACTTCCTCCTTTGTGTTTCCTTATGTTATTCTTTATTTATTCCTTCTATTACCTTCTCTTATGTTATTCTTTGTTTTTTTTTATCATTCTATCACTTTCTCTTTCTGTCTTTCCTTATGTTATTCTTTGTTTATTCCTTCTGTATCACCTTCTCTTATGTTATTTTTTTTTTAATCATTCTATCACTTCCTCTTTCTGTGTTTCCTTATGTTATTCTTTGTTCCGTCCTTCTGTATCACCTTCTCTTATGTTATTCTTTGTTTTTTTATCATTCTATCACTTCCTCTTTCTGTGTTTCCTTATGTTATTCTTTGTTTTTCCTTCTAGCACCTTCTCTTATGTTATTCTTTATCATTTCCTTCTTTCACTTTCTCTTTCTGTGTTTCCTTATGTTATTCTTTGTGTCTTCTATCATTTCCTCCTTTGTGTTTCCTTATGTTATTCTTTATTTATTCCTTCTATTACCTTCTCTTATGTTATTCTTTGTTTTTTATCATTCTATCACTTTCTCTTTCTGTCTTTTCTTATGTTATTCTTTGTTTCTTCCTTCCGTATCACCTTCTCTTATGTTATTCTTTGTTTTTTATCATTCTATCACTTCCTCTTTCTGTGTTTCCTTATGTTATTCTTTGTTTACATCGTTCTATCATTTTCTTTAAGGACGGCAGCTAGCTCCGCTCCTAAAGTCAAGTGACCTAACATCGCGATGTTACAACTGCGAGCGTTCATACTTGCCAAACACGCCAAAACACGCCAAAACACGCCAAAAGATCACACTTCGTTTTGGAATGTTTCGGGCTTGGCATCTCTGCCGGTAAAGCGTAGTTGCCCTTGGTAACATCGCGGTCTGGCTCCGGTTTGGCATTTTTGGCGTGTTTGGAACACAGTGTAAATGCCCCTAAACACTTATCCGTCAGCGGTGGATCCAGCCGGCGGCAGGGGAGGGGGCCAAAGAGGGGGCCCAATTCGTGAGAAAATATATAGCAGCGAAACAGCCAGCCGGTGAATAAGCGGGGGGGGGGGGGGGGGGGGGTATTGTATTTTTTATAGGCTGAGAAATGCAGTTATGAAAGTGGGAGTGAAAAAAGGGTCTTATTTGTTGAAAAAGGCAAAGTGACTGTTAATCTTCAATATCTTGGAAAACTTCGAGCACACAGTTTCGTCAAAAGCTTGCAAGGATGATTGTACAATCGAAGTAACAGTCGTGCATTTGGTCAAATATTAGTACGTCGATATCAAGTGCACTTATGTCAGGAAAAAAAAATCCATTATCATTAGAAAATTGTTGTTCCAATTTTATTGTCCTAGGGGGGGGGGGGTCATGTCTCGGGGGTCAGTTTTCAAGGGATGATGGGAATCGATAGATTTTCCTACAAACCATATAACAGCCATAAGCATTTTCCTAAAGACTTTTTTTACTTATGGTATGGTCGATAAAACCATATTATTTAAATTCTCGTGTTGATGCTTCAACAAAGTAATACCGGGAGAAATCTTATCGTGCTAACTACACTAGTTTTGAGGGGAAGACATTCGAAAGAACAAAACTTGGAGAGAGGCTGGCAGAGGAAGGATGATCTAACATGACATTTAAGCATAATATTTGGAAATAGAAGCTTTACCATTTTGCTTTTATGCCGTTATAAAGCCTTCGAAAATCGTTACGCTTAAGAAGGAAAGATCTTTTCAAAAGAAATAACATAGAAGTATGAAACATATTCTAAAATGGTAGCACTTAAAAATATCAATGCATAAAAGCTCTAAAACCTTGCTTCTCATTTGATCTTAGTTCTATGATAGAGTCATCGTTAAAAGAACTTTAATACAAAATGGCAATAAAAATTTCTATATCATTTTTTACACCAACAAAAATTTGAAAGGTAAATATCAGAAGATATGGGTTCTAAGACATATTGATTTTATAGTATAATAGGCTCGTTATGCACAAAAATGAAAGCAAAGGTGAAAGCGATCGTGAATCAGATTAAGAGATATTGATCCAACCGTCAGAAGACATATAATTCAAAACAGCTTCTTTATCCGGTACCATTTCGCTTATTATACGAAGATCCTTAATTGCCAGAAAGCTATTCGTTATTTTGATCAGAGGTATAAAACGATGATGAAAAACTAACGGTTAGAATAGTTCATCTTTTTGTGTCAAAGTACCAGCGAAAATTGGTGTATAAATATAATGTATTCAAACGATAGTTACATTTACAAAATCGATAATGATTTCTTTTTCTACATTTACTTTGTTATCATAGTGGTTAAGAGACAACTCCCAATGGATTTACCCTTGATATGTCAAAATTAAACCTTTCAAAATAAGTTTAGAAACTAAAGTTTGATCGATTATATTTCTCTCATCATGGCATTTGCATCGCTTTGATTATTATCATTAGAAAGTGTGTTTATTCTTCTTTAAAGTTATACCATATTTAATATTATTTTGCAGGTATGGAGTGAGCGCTACATCAGAATAAAAGGCAGGGTAAAAAAAAAGTTGCAAAATAACTGGTAAGCACTGGTATTGTTGTGCAGAGCACTCTTCTTTTTTTAAAATACCCTTTTCTAACTGCGCTGATTTTCATCGGATGCATCCGGACGCATCCGATGAAACGGCCAGTTAGAATAAAGCAACAGAGGAGAAAAAGGCGATTAAATAGCCGATGAAAAGAAGAGAAATAGGCG